GGTTTGTGTTTTTTTGGGGGGGTGGTTTTCGATTGCTTTTCTCTTCATATTTTTTTTAAATAAGGGGCAATTTTTCCCTCAGATTGATCGAGAACCATACTTCAGTCCCTAAAACTTACATGGTCTCCGCATACTTCTAAACGTTTTCTTTTTAGGCCCTCTCTCCTTAATTGGCAGGAGATCATATTTCTACTTTTTAGAGTTCTTTGCAATTCCATTGCGTTCCCAGGGCCTTACTTCTCAGGAACGATAAGCGGTCTTTGATGTCGAGATAATAGCACATTGATGATCAGCTGTATCGACCCGACCGTGCCATTTTACCCCCTCAGGTGGCAATCTGATCACACTCTTCTCAGTGTGAAGTGTTTTCTTTACACCAACAGAGGTTTTCATTTTCAGTCTGAAAATGATTCCATTAAGTATTGTTCTGAACTTTACTATTTAAGGATCAGAATTTATATCTCTCGATCAATATTTACGTCAAGATGTTTTGCTTCGAAAATTCTTGTCTTAAAACGATATCTTTCAGTTTCGTCTTCAAGGTCGTTTGAGCAGTGTGTTTATGCTTTAAATGTGACGTTAACGATCGATTCGTCTACCCAAAGAAGCCGCTTCGGAGAAGAAAATCAATCCAACTCAAGAGCAAAAAAGTCTAATCTCGCCTAGGTTTAGTGGCTGCGTGGAGCTTTTTCACTAAAGCAGCTTTTAGCAAAGAACGGAGTCTACAGAGGAAAAAAACAAAGTTAGAAAATAGAGATGGCATTATCACTAAGAGAAAATAGAGATGGCATTATCACTAAGAGAAAATAGAGATGGCATTATCACTAAGTAAAGAAGATAAATGTTCTGGTGTCGAAACGGATTTTTAAAAAACCATGGTAGGAAATTGTATGGCCTTTGCGTCTTGAAAGACGCATGTATGATACAACTGTGCGGGGCGGAAGACAAAGATGACGTAAGAAATTTGAGCTGGTATTGAAAGAAGAGGAGTGCGTGGAAGTTGACGAGTAGACCGGACGAGTGCGGCTTTTTTTTTGGGGGGGGGGGTACAGCAGACAAAAACAACACACACACACACACACACACACACACACACACACACACACACACACACACACACACACTTACGCACTGATACAAAAACAACTTTTCAAATTTGTTTTGTTTGTTTGCTTTTTGGTCTACAGGACATGTAGAGACTAATGAATACACCAGTCTCATTCTGTGTTAGCTATTTCGCTGGATCGCAGAAGATTCTAGAACCTTCTCCTTGTGGGGGAAATGCTTATTGGGTTTCTCTGTCTTTGTGCTGGGACGTTGTATCCTTGTGTGCCTGTGTCCGCGTTGGTGTTGACAGACAGGGTCGAAGCCCACATTCCGAAGGATGTAAAGATATCGATGGGGGCATAAACAACTTACATTTAAAAAGGAACAATGAACAAATAGAACACGTCAGCCCTTTTTCCATGTCTGGCTATGAGATGTGTGTAGTGAGATGTGTGTTTTCCTGGGGATTTATTATTATCCGGTGTGATAAGAGCAAATACTGGATAGAGAATAAGACCAGGAATGAGTAAACTGTTTTCTTTCGAAATAGGGAAACAATAACTTTTGCTGATTGGGGCATTTATCATGTCAGAAATTATGTTGTGATTAGTCCGTGCGCTAAACTGTATTTCCGTAGTACAAATAGGGCTGTGACGTCCAAAATATGTCTATAATAATATTTGATATGAAATCGTGATCTGATGTGAATGCATAGTATTACTTTATATATGTCGTAACAAAACAAGCACAGTTGCAGCATTTACACAAATTTATAATACCCAGCTGTCCAATTAGCAAGAAAGTGTCAAGCAAGGTTCATATAGTAAAGCAGAAGAAAGGGAAAGAAAATATCTCTCTCATTTTTGGACAGTCGTTAGACACATGTTGTGGGAGGGGGTAAGTTACCAAACAGATCCCACACCGTACAAGAGACAGTGAGGTAATTTCCTACGGGAACAAACGAAAGCAGAACGGCCCTCAGTCATTCAGAGTTCGCACGTCGTCGAAGGGCACCAAATCTCCTTTTCCTGCCAGTTTTCACTAATCACTGACCGCTTCCGGCCAAGAGGCTATTCCTGGCCCACGCTCTACGCCCGCGCATCCAGTGACGTCACCAAAAGTGCCAACAGGATGCCACTGACTTGGGATATGACGTAGTTCCACCAGACGCAGAGTTATTATCTTGCTCCTTGAGAAGCTGATAGCACTATTACTCTCTTCTCGTTGATCGTTCAGCCTTTGTCTACCAGTCTTCGTGTTTGTTCGTCTGTATGTTGATCTCGTTTCTTCTTAATCAAAGACACTAGATACTTCTTAGTGTAATTATCACTGTTAAGGATTTTTTCATTTACAGTCTTTCAGTGCTTCTTTGATCTGTTTGTCTCTTTAAGGCTTTATTTCATCTCACACTCTTCCCGTTTTTCATATTCTATTTATAATTGAAATAACATAAAATGTTATTCTTTCACCCCATTTCGAATCTATTTCCTCTATAAGGCATCTTCAGGTATAACATTTTCTCCAATCTATTAGACTTATATTCTTTGAAATGCATGACACCAGTCGGAAAGTGAGGATATTTCTTTCAAGTATCAGTTGCAATACTGTTTATTAATGGCGGCGTCTTTCAAAGCTTAACATGTCTTTGAGTACGAAGACATGGCGCGAAAAAAGAAAGATTGAATGATTGGATGGAGGAACTGGGGCGAACAAGGAACGATAAAGGAAACCATGTGTAGGGGAGGGGTGGGAGGGGGGTGTGGAAGACAAACATTTAGCGACCGGCTGGATACTTGCGTCCCATAATAGCTCCGTATTATGATTGTCTCAACTTGTGACGTCACAGTCTGTTCTCCAGTGAAAACGACGGCGGAGTGATAAACAGGAAATGAAAACCAGAAGACAGTGTAGGACTCAGTGCGTAATGAGTCTAGCTGGGCAGGAGTTAGCCAGCCCACGCTCTCTTTTAATGGGAATTTCTTTTCGATTTGAAAACCATTACTGTAATTGGAAACAAACTCCGCCCTTTACGTCTTTACGACTACAATATTGTTTCAAAGACAAAGCTTTGCTCATGCATTGTGTTTCTAGTCACGATTTGTTTTCTTTTGTCCTCATCGACGAAGAGACTATGTAGCGTTATTGATTAGGGTTATGACCTTTTCTTGAAAAGTCAATATTTGTCTCGTAGTGTTATGAATTATTCTCGACTCTCGTGTAATGTTTTGTTCTGTCAGACTAGAGTTCTGAATACAGACAAAGCAGTCTGACTAAAGAATAGTCTACTTGCTCGTGTCCTGGAGGGCATAGAATTACTACAAAAGTTCAATATTATAATCAAAGAGCTTACATTTCAGACAGTGTCGTCTTACTGTTTGTGTTTAAACCAACTGAAGAGCAAATCCTTTAAACTCATGTCTGCCGTTTATATTCCACAGAGATTCCGTTGTCTCAGAAGCTGAAAGACGTCATTCCAGAGACCCTAAGCAAAAGTGGCTGACATCACCAGCAACAAGTACAAGCATTCACCATGTTCGTTTCCAGCGTGGTCGTTCGTCGAGCGAGAGAAGAATGCTTTATGGGAACAATGCACCTCAATGCCTTAAATGGCTCCTCTGACACGCTAGGCCAGTCCGAAAACGAGAGCTCAAAGACAGGCTATCCTTTCGGAGGCCTCTTTGGCGTATCCCTATCCGACACACACCCGTACAGACCTCACGACAGCGGGAGAACCTTCCACGAGAGCAGGCTCAGCTGCTGCAGCGGCAACAACCACAGCAGCACCGACAACACAGTCATCACATCGTGCTGTTCCACTTCGCCCTCCTCCTCCTACTTTCACACAACGTCGTCCACATCTTCCACCTGCCCTATTCCCTCCTCCTCCTCCTTGTCCTCCCCCTCCTCCTCCTCCCCCTCACCCTGCTGTAACTTAGTGTCATCTTCGCCCTCACCCTCTTCCTCCTCCAAACGTGAGGCGTTTGGAAACAAAATGTTGTCATCTGCTTCTGCCTCACTTATGTCCAGTGGTTCAAGTCGGCATCGCGAGGCGCTTGAATCTCTGAAAGGCACGTCTCACAGAGGATGCTGTTCCCCCAGCGGCCCCAGGCGTCGAAGTCTTGACCTAGACACTGTGTCCAGTTGCTCCAGCAGGTGCCGCCTGGACGAAATCTCGTTGTCCCTGGAGGAACTGGGTCCTCGGCCAACCGGCACCGGCAAGTCTTTTAGCAGGAGAGTCAGTGACGCCACGATCAGCGAAAACGAGACAAGTGATCTTGACATGGCCAGTCTCAGCATAACAGAGGTAAATACTGCATCCTCTTCTTGCCATTGCCAGTAGTTCCTTTCTTTCTCTTTATCACTCTCTCCCTATCCCCCCTCCCCCCTCTCTCTCTCTCTCTCTCTCTCTCCTCCTCCCCTTAAAATTTGAATCTACATAAATGATTATTGTTCCTGTGGAAGATCTCTTTGACTCCATCGATCCGTCTTTTTCTTTTCTTGGCCTTCCTTATGCCCTGAAGCCATCGCCCAAGTGTTTCAGTTAGGTTTGACTACTAGATCTAGATCTAGAAATAGTTGGCACTAGATCTAATAATTTGACCGTATTCGTTTGAACAAAGAGGTGGGGGGGAGTGGAGAAGTATATTTACCAACTTTCACATGCGAGTGAAGCACACCGAGTCTGACCAAGCAACCTTGAGACTATACCGAGGGCGCTTTGTGTACATT